CAAATTAATCGGTATTCCAGTAAACTGAACCAACAAATTAATCGGTATTCCAGTAAACTGAACCAGCAAATTAATCGGTATTCCAGTAAACTGAACCAGCAAATTAATCAGTATTCCAGTAAAAAAAACAGCATATTAGTTCTTTTGGAAAACGTTTTTTATATGTCATGTCTTCTAATCTCAACTTGGACTCGTATTCGAAATGCTTTTAAGTTCGAAAACGTCTTTCCCCACTGGAAAACCGTCAAAACGCAACCATAATTCTATGGAAAAATTGCTAAAATAGACAATCTTTGTCTACTGTTATGGAAGGAATAGTTCACGGTTAGTTGCACGGATATCCGATTCAGCGTTATAAGATAATTATAATTATCTAATAATTATATTATATATTCGACATTACATCAAATGCTGTAGTTAATTCGTTTTATTTCAATCAATCAAAGGCATGAGTAAAAAATTAACAAAAGAGGCAAGCATCTTACTCACATCATCAGTATCGTCAATAAAAGAATTATAGTAATAGAGAATTATAATGACAAAACAGAAAAACCATTGTGAAGAGATACATTATTAAATGAATCAAGTTAGACGCAATGGTGATGTGAGAAGTGATGTCATGTTTCCCCTTCTCTTTGTTTTTGTTCTTGTTATATGTTTCAGCAAGACCTTGACTTAATGCAATATGGCACATGACGTTATTCGCTGTACGTGTTGCTGATGAGTCGCCGGAAAATTCATGACCGAATTGAAATCAACCAAAGAAAAGAAAGAATGTGTTCATTTTGCTGAGGCTCGATTCCTTCCTTGGCATATTTAAGTCGTTTCGTTTGAAATATGAAAGACGCACTGGTGGATCCAGACTTACGAAGGGGGGGGGGATAACTCAAGAGAGATTATCAAATGGATAGTTTTAGCACTAAGCTGCTTTAGTTTCTTCCTTCAAGTGCACAATGAGTCCCTTTCAGATTTAATTTCTTATATTGTTTACAAAATATTTTTTTACCGTAAAAGGTGGGTTGGCTAACCAACCTCATATGTTTAAAGAAGCTTGTACCAGGACTTGAATTCAGTCCCAGGTGAAAAACATTCTATACGTAGAAAAAGAAAAAAGAACTTCAGACTGTTGTTGTAACATACTATTAATATCCTCTTCCGATAAGAATGTTGACAAATTCAAATGGGTCCACAGAAAGAAAAAATAATAATAAACCAACAAATTCATTTTCATAAGCTGCATATATAGTGCCATTCTCAAGCGAAACTTCATTGCTTAGTGTACAATTTCCAGGTAGGTTTGACCCTTTTTAAATACACTATGAAGACACAAAGAATTCGTAAGAAGTTATGCAATTACTAGCCTCCTTGGCAGCCGCCCCTGTATCATCACGTTTACAATGCGCGATAGGACAAAGGAACTGCTGCTATCGAGGCTACGCTCTCAGGAAACTATGGCTATATTTGACGTCAGAAGTCAGGGCTAAGTATACTAAACGTTTTTTAACCAACGACAAAAATCTTGTTAGCTTGTTTTGAGTTCACCAACGTTGTTTTCATGAACAAAAAGTAAAACTAACCAAATGATTTTGAAAGTCTACAAGAAAACGAAGGTCGATATGTAAACACTGTCATCTGTTTCGGTTTTGAAGTACAATTATTATCAGTATTAGGCAGGGCTTCAGCATTTTGTAGTTGCGACCCAATAGGATGGTTCTGAATAGGAACTTTCATTATTCAAAAGGTTTTTGTTTACTTTTACAATATCATATCTTACGAAATTCTTCATCACGATGAAAGAAACTCAAATTCGTGTATTTTTATTGGGATGGCTTTTTGCCTTGTTTCATGGTTTTAAATCAGGTATGGGACTCTCTAATCGTAATATTCATTTGATGTCAAATTTACTGATTTTTCATTATCGATCATCCTTTAAAAACTGCGAACAAAGCATGATAGAGTCATGATAGATATTGAGGTTATTTATCACAAAGTCAGAGTATAATCCAAACAGAAACAACGACTGACTAAAATGGAACTTTTCTTTCTATTTGAAAACGCTAAATAAGAAAACCACAATCGACAAACGTAGCTAACTTAAATGCCAACCTTCACTTCGCTAACCGCAGTGTTGACTGAATGAGATCTGTGATGGCCTGGATGAAAATTGAAAATTCAGCTTAGAACGAAAGTGTTGCAGTTGTTTCAACTTTCTGTGATACGCCAAGAAAAGACTCAGTACAGAATAACGGTGACTAATTCGTAACAGAAACGTTCAGCCAGGAGGCGCCTAAAGCGTTGAAAAAATATTTTTTTACTGAATGGAAAAAACAAGCGCCTCTCTAGGGGAATTGTTTTAAAATTAACCTAGAATCAAAACAAGAAAGAGCAAAACCATTTTTGATATTTTGGATGAGGTGAAAGAGAAATGAGGGAAACTGTTGTATATCGCCATCCAATATGGCGGCTCTGACATCATGATTCACACGTGATTCATTCCTTTTCACAGTCGATTCAATCCATGGAGGGTTAATAGGCTTTAAACGAGAAGCAATTAATTTTACCTGGTTCTTGGGTTTACCTATCAAGACCGTATATTTTGGTAAATGGAACGACGAATTCGAGTACATAGAAATCAGCTATTTGACAGTAACAGTCAACAATGGAAGTATTTCACTTCACCCAAACACCGGTACCGAAGAGGTGAATGCCCGTCCTTATATCGGCCGAGTTCGATGGTATGGTAATGTTGATACGGGATTGGCTATCTTTGAACTATCTAAAATACAAGACTCTGATCAAGGATTATACGGCATTGAGGTACGTAAGTCGATTCATTTCCTCCAAAATAACACTATGCATTTAGCTACTTTTTGTCATCTCGTAGAATTGAATTGTCGTGCATAGTCATGTCTAAAGATAAATCAAGATAGAAACATCTACTATGCTAGATATATGTGACACTTTCGGATTCAAAAATCAAAGGAAATTGTTGAACTACAGTATATTGATGTCTATGTAACCTATCCCTCTCACTTCCTTATGCAATAACTAATGTGGACTTGTTTAAATTTTAAGACACAACATGTGGGCAAAAACGATTTCATAGGGAACTCAACTGAACTTATTGTGAAGGTATCTCTTATCTGTAACATATTATTGGAATTTATATAGATCATTCTATCAAGACTATTCCGGAAAGAGAGCATTTTAAATCTCCTTCTTGTGGTTTCAGACAGCGTCTATGTTTACCTATAGTCCAAGGAGTGTATCCACGGTTGGTGGTGGCCAAGTTGAGTTTACTTGGAAATACAATCTCAACGATGACGATCGTAAAAATCTCTCAAAGATTCGATTTGGTGTGTACAAAGGAGGTGATTTCAAGCAGATATGTGAAATTCAGGTAACTCGTATAAAGACGACCCCCGTTTGATCACTGAAAGACTCAAAAACAATACTTCAATACCAGGTCGGATCCAGAACATCACAAAGATTTTTTTTTATATCACAAAGATAGTTGGCTAGCACAAGAGAAAAGATTATACGGATAGATTTAGGTCGTCTTTAGTTGTTTTTCAGAATGAATCCCATTCACTTTTGATTTCTTCTTTCATTTACTTATATCATAATTATATCTCTATATTTTTGGTGCATAAAATGGGAGGGTGGCTAGCTACCTAACCCCCCTCCCCCTAGATCCTCCCTTAAATACTAAGATTATTCTCGTACGATAGGTTGACCGAGAGCTAGTCAAGAGTACAAATTGTTTGACAAKACACCTTAAACCAACTACTAAAGTGACATTTATAAAAGATAATGTCGATTTTGATGATGAAGCGGTCTATGGGATTATACTGAATGGAACTTACCGAGACATGCGTAGTAACACCAAACTAATAGTTAATGGTAGGTTTATCAATAAATCAACTACTGCCGCTTTATTGATTTTTCTTCTGTGATGCAATAACTAAGCCGAGCTGGGTGTACAGCTGAACTGACAAAGACAGAATAAAAATATTAATAAGAAAAAATTCATTCTTTGTTCCTTTTGAAGAAGCCATTGATGATATTTGAGGTCACATGACAGGCTTCGACCTCAGTTGATTCCAGTCTAATTTGATGAAAATTTTTACTAAAATGAAAATTAGTTGTTAATAAAATATCTTTTGCTTCCAGACCCGCCAAAAATCATTACCAAACCCAAAAACGTAGTCGCTACCGAGAATCATGAGCTAAATCTCACGTGTCAAGTAACAGGAAAGCCACGCCCACTCATTAACTGGACAAGGGACGGTTTAACGGTCCAGAAAAGCTATCAGAGCACATATACTGTCAGATATACACAATTGAAGGATGCTGGGGAATATCAGTGTATTGCAAGTAACATCGTTGGAAGTGTAGCGTCGTCTTCATTCATTGTAGATGTTCATTGTACGTTGAGTGACAATCACTTGGATTAGAGTTGAGGCATTACCCCGTGAAACAGTAAACCTCAAAACCGTGAAACTAGTACAAGGCACACAGCCTTATTTAAAAAGTCGCTAATTCCGCCATTGTTTTTTGATCTGATATATATAGATATATTTTAGTGTTCTAGCTCTATTTCTTATCTCATAACTGCGCCAGAATAACACGACTACTTTATCATTGTTTTACAATAGATGCCCCAAGGATCAATTCTTCAACCGATGTCATCGTGATACCCATTCCAATGGGGAAAGCAGAATGGTTAAAATGTCCAGTAAATGCTCATCCACCATCTACCTGGAAATGGTACAGTAATGGCAACCCTGACCAACACAAGGGAGAGAATATTCAAGTAAAGATCTCAAAACAAGCTGACTATAAGAACTACACATGTGTAGCAACAAACGCGGTAGGAAAAGATAACGTGACATTTATCCTGAAACAAGTCGGTAAGGATTTGACAGTCATATAATCATGATATCATGATCATCGTCAATTATCATCATTCAGAGGCACGCGATCGCTCATTTAACGACTAAATCTTACGGATTCTTCCAACCCATATTCATAAGAATTACATGATATAAGGACTTGATAGTATTCTAAACTCGGTGTATAATATCTTGCAGGGGTGCCATCTGTACCTAAGGTATCTTGTGATCGACGTGAAGACACATCAGATAGTCGCACACAAAAGCTTCACTGGAAAACTCCTTCTGATGACGGCGGTGCCCAGGTGATCGGCTACACAGTGAAATACAGAATACTTAGAGGTCATATCTATAAAAGCTTATGGCGTAATATTAATGTTAGCTCTACTGAGACATGGTACACACTAAAGCTAGACTGGGCAACAACCTTTGAGCTGACAGTTACAGCCTGGAATAAATACGGCGAGAGTAAACTGGATTTGGAGCACAGTTCTTGCATTGTGGAGATTGGAAAGAGTTAAGAGTCATTATTTGTCCTGTTTGATAAATATCATTTATAGAATAACTATCATATAGCTCTTGCATTGATTGCCYGGCTTGAATATCCAAAAAAGACGCGTTTCAATAAGGGCATAGAAACGTGGCTTTCAATCGAAGAGTGGTTGAGATTGTTGGGAGAACATTTCGAAAAGGTTTTCAATACATCGAATTCAGCGGTTCTTTGATAGTTCCAATCATAATAGTGATTATAATCATTATGATTTGAATGGCATCAGAGATTAGCACCATCTAACTGCTGCAACTTGTCAGTGCGCCAGTTTGAAACCTTCGTGTATAAAACTCGTACATATTTCTCTTGCCAAGGTCCTTCAATGGTAGCTACCTCTATTAGTACTACGTCTGAGGCTGTTGTAATAATAGGTAAGTTGTTGTTAAATCGAGACCTCTTGCACATAGTTTCAGGGTCAACTAAGAATATTAATAACTTTGGAGATTGAAAAACGGACGGGTATTGGGAACTCTAGTGGGAATTGATTTTAGTGAAACGCGTCACGTTTTTGTATTTTTATCACTTTAAGCTGCTGTAAAGAACAACACAAAACACATAAAGTCATCATCACTTCATAAAGCCATTTACATCGTCCCCGCCGCTGTTGCTGCATTGCTGATAGTTGTCTTGGTTACTCTGCTGATAAAGCGGCGACGTGCCAGAAAACATCGCGTCAAAAGTGAGTGCAGTAAGGTCAGTTCATAAACTAAGAAATGCAATATAACCAGTAAATTCTTCTCGTTAATCATTTCAGCAAACTGGGCTGAGCACCATGTCAGGTAAACTGCTGATATCAGGCCTATAGCATTTTCAAATTGACGATATAATAAGAATTGTCCAATTCACTTTAGTTTAACTATTATATATTTGTGTTGATATGCCTAGTTTCAATGCTCTCAATCAAATACTTGAGCCATCATTCGCTCTTACTGACCTGCGGTTAGGGTCACGTCATCAGACAATGGTTGGAAGTCCTCGATATCAGATGGATCCCGACTGGACCATTCCGAAGGAGAGGATTTGTGTTTTGAAGGTAAAGTTGTGTATATACTTTATTACCAAAGTCCATGAATGTGAATAATTGGTCTGTTTTTTTATTTGCAAGGTGATTGGAAATGGTGCCTTTGGTCTTGTCTACAAAGGACGTGTACATGGAATAGGGACAGATAATGTTGGCTGGTCTATGGTCGCTATTAAAAGCCCCTATGGTATGGTCACTATCATTGATACAATGTGATGTTTATTCGTTCACTATATCGCCATTTMTTTMTTTCGTCMACTTTGTTTCCATTCATTYTTTGAACATTCATTCATACCTCATGCCTTTTTTGTCAGTTCTTTATCAATGCTTCATAACTTCCATTCATTTTTTCATCCATTCTTCTTTTGGCAGCTGATGCAACAGATTCTGAAGTACGAGATTTGATGAAGGAGTTCGAGTTATTGAAAACACTTGACCCCCATCCCCACGTGATCAAACTACTCGGGTGTGGCGAAGGAGATGGTAAGCTGAATAGCCCTCTTACCACGTGAACAATGATTGAACGATCCCGTTATGAAAACTATTATCATAATATGTTGACAATGTCTTGACAGGGCATCCTATGGTTATTATCGAGTATGTTCCATTTGGTGATCTGTTGGGTTATTTACGTAAGAGTCGTGGTGAGAATGATGACTATTATTCTGATCCTGAAATCCAACCCAACACCAACCTTTCGTCCCAGCAGCTTTTACGGTTTGGTTGGAATATTGCTGATGGAATGGCGTATCTTGCTTCTCAGAAGGTACTGTTCC